CGCCGGTCGGCGCACCGTCCAGTGGCTCGAAGTGGACCCCACTAAGGTCGACGGAATTGGGGCGCGCGCCTGTCGCATTGTCTTTCCCAAGCTCTTTCCGTACCAGAGCAACGCGCTGAGCTACGCGTCGTTTTGCTACAACTCGGATTTGTTTGTGTTTCTGTATGCGCTCTCGGTGCTTCTCGACCTCAACACGTCGTTCATCTTTGTCCGCGAAGTCAACGTGTACAACAATCTCGCGCCGCAATTCCTCTACACGCTGCAAATGTTTGCTCTCTCGAGCCGGCTTCTCTGGGTCAACTGCGCGTTCCTGAAGCTTCTCAAGATTGGCTGGAGCTTGGTGAGCGCCGCGTCGGTCAACGGCGAGAGCACGCTCATGGGCTGCTTGAACCTCTCGTCGACGACGTCCGTGTACCTCAGCGCAGTCCTCCTCTTCTACGTGCCCGCGTACATCGAGTACAACAACTCGGTTGCGACGCCACTTCGCAACGTCAACGAGAGCATCGACGGTATCCGCGTCCGCGTCTTTGACGGGTTTTACCTCCGCGTGCTCTCGTCCGTCGGCGTCGGCCTCGTCGTCAACCTCGTCCTGGTCACGGCTGCCGATCGGCTCTGGAATTGGCGCTACTGGCAGCTTTTGGCGAAGAACTCACTGGCGCGCCAAGCCATGTACAACAGCAGCTCGATCGTGTGCGACTTTGTCGACGGCATCGAGCCGGACGCGGACGGCGCCGCGTCGTCGATCGTGTGCCGCGCGCGCCGCTTGAGCACACTGCAGTGGTTTTTCATGAGTCATTTGACGTGCTTTGGCTTGCCGGAGAAGGAGCTTCGCGCCAAGAAGCTCTCGATCACACACGTCAACGTCAAGCACCACCACACGGCGAATTCGAGTTCGCGCTCGAGTTCGATCACGTACCCAACGGCGCTGCCGCTGCCGTTACCCGTGCCCGACGACGGCGCGTACATGGTCGTCCAGGACGGCGACCACAACATCCACCTCCTGGACGGCCAGCTCAACGACGTGACGAGCCTCGTGTACAACATCAAGGTGCTCAAGAACACGACCGTCACCATCAAGTGAGACAACCGAACATTACTGCTAGCTACATTGTTGTTGAACTGAGTTATATTACATGCAATTATAAAGATATGGTGGACTTCCTAATGCGCTCGTGAGGCTTGACCGGTGCGTCAACGAGGAGCGTTAGTGGTCGTAACTCGAGATTGTGCAAGGGACCAGGTAGCGTGCACACCAAGGGTCGTCGCGGAGAGCGCGCAGTGACGCGTCAAGAGATGGCACCACAGCACGACGAGCCAAGTGCCGGACATGCAGTCTTGCGATAGTAGCTGCCCGGATCGCGAGCGCGGCAGCGGGAAGTTGCGTCAACGTCGAGCGGAAGACACGGTTGTTGCGTTCGAGCCAAAGACAATACCAGACGCAAGCGTGTAAGATCAGCCAGAGGGCACGAACGGACGACTTGGGGCCGAGTACGGCGCGGCGACATCGTCGTAGAGAAAGCCAGCGACCGACGACGGGAGTTGCATCCTAGACTGCTAGCTACCGGTATTACGTGTTGACGTACTACTGCTTGTATTGTTTTATAGTATTTGTCGACATGATGTGCACAGCCCAGAAGGGCGCTTCGGACAAGATTCGTTGTCTTGATCGGTTCTTCATACAATGTAGCTCCGCACTGCCTCACTTGACGAGTGATTTGCACGTGTTGCCGCAAGGTACTAACCCTCGGCAATGACCCCTCCCCTTCACCAAGAGCACACAAATCCAATTGGATTTATGTAGTCCTGCCTCCACGCACAGACTCACTTCACCGGCCATTGTAACCGTTTAGCGTCATCGGCTAGTCCAACCGGGTTAGGATTCAGTATATCTCAAGTTGAGATAAACTAAACTTGTTGAGATGCGCTTGGACGTTCCCCGACGCGCAAGCGACTTTCTTATACTACTACTGGAGTACATGTAGTAGTTGCGAAGTCGAGCCCCAAATCTTCCAGTTTCGACTAGAAAATAATGCCGGTTGAGACTCGCAGGCCTCCTCACTGCCGGAACTATACACCGAGATGGGCCATTGCACTTGGCTTTTTGGTGACGCAAACACAAGGGAGGGGTCCATGGACTGACCAAGCTGCGTATGACCGCAGACTAGCCGGCGGATATGAGGCTGCTGGTTTCAACACGTCGACAGCACCACCGTATATAAAAACGTACGACGTATATTACAGCCTCTATCGGATCGTCATGGGCGCGTTCCTGAGCACTCTGGTATTGAAGGCTGCGCTGCCCACACCGGCAAAGCTGCCATCGAGCAAGTGGATCACGCGGTCGCCGTCTTGGACGATCGTAAACAACTCTTCCGCCGCCTCTTCTTCGATCGCGGTGGTCGGCTCGGCCGACTGCGCCATCAGATTGCGAGCGGTCTTGACGAGCATCGTCTTCTTCTTCTTCACGTAGAGGTCTTTGGCCGGCAAGCCAAAGCACGTCAAGTGACTCATGAAAAACCACTGCAGCGTGCTCAGCCGGCGCGCGCGGATGCTCGTCGTTGTCGTCACGCCGTCTTTGTGGTTCTCGAGGGGCGGAAGGTAGTCGCAGAGGATCGAGCTGCTGTTGTACACTGTTTGACGCGTGAGCGAGTTGTTGCGCAGCGTGCTCCAATACTTGTAGTTGATGGCGTGGTCGATGACCGTCACGGCAAAGACATTAAGGAGCAAGAGATACAGAATCGAGACGGCGACGCGCATGTAGCTGCCGTGAACCACCTCGACGCGGAGTCCGTCAAGCGACTCGACCGACTTGGGCAAATCCATGGCTACTGAGTTGTCGTACTCGACGAACGCGGGAATAAAGAAGAGAAGGACCGCGCTAAGGTAGAGGTACGTGACACTGGAAAAGTTGAAGAACGTCATGACGTTGCTTTGGCCATTGTACTCGGCGTGCACGACGAGGTTCCAGAGGATCTTGCACACCTTGAGGATCGCGCAGTTGACCCAGAGCAGGCGGCACGAGAGCGAAAGGGTCGTGAGCAACGGAAGTGCTTGGGGCACATGCGCGTTGTACACGTTGATGCGGCCGACATACAAGAGGCAGTTTTGCAGATCGAGGAGCACCGAGAACGCGTAGAGAAACACAAACACGTCCGAGTTGTAGCAAAACATGTCGTAGCTCAGCGCGTGGCTTGGAAATGGAAAGTACTTGGGGGCGACGGTGCGAAGCACCTTGGCGATGACCGAGTCGGGCGTTGATGGGTCGACTTCAAACCACTGCACGGTCCGGCGGCTCGCGAAGAAGCCCGCAATACCGAGCATGATCGCCGCGAGCTTGGCGACTAGCGACACGACGCCGACGACCGAGTTGGCCATGGTCACGCCCAGCTTGTACGTCGAGCCGGGCACAAAGGCGCTCGAGTCAACGCGGAGCGTTTGATTGGCGTCACTGTACGCCAAGGTCAAGTTGCAGCGACTGAAGCCGAGCTCCGTGATCGGCGTGCACCCGGTGCAAAAGTTGTACGTATAGATGCGGAAATAGGGCACGACGAGATGCTGGAGTTGAGACGTGTTGGCGACTGTGAACGGCGTGGTGAAGCGCTTATCGACGCTTGTGCGCCCAGGGACGTACCCGAGCGAAAAGAGGTCGGCGCTCGACATGCCTCGGGTTGCCAAGTTGACGGTTTGATCGTTTGTGAAGAAATGGTCCATCGCGTGGCCGCGGTAGAACGAGATCGCGTCGTCTGCGAGCGCCAAGCGAATCGACGAGCCGGCCAACGCACTGTACGTGCCTTGAAAGATCGGACAGAGATCCGTGGACGGCGTGAGCGCAAACTCGCCGGCCGTGAACGTGTACATGTGCTTGCTCTTGGTCACGAGGTGGCTCACGCTCACATTCGTCATCCAGTACCCGACGTCCGAGAGGTTGGCGATCGCACGGCCGTGTCCGAAGCTGTACTCGGTATCGAGCTCATATGCGGCACCAATGCCGCCGACCGGCGTCAAGAAGAAGAAGCCGCCACCGAGAAAGTTGTTGAGCGACCAGTTGTTGACGACTGCGTCCACCGTGAGCAGCAAGACGACGAGCGACCCAAAGAGGCGCGTCGCGTACCAGTGCAGCGTGTCCGAGGCGCGGACGAGGCGCACGCGAAGCGGCTCCGTCGATTCGGAGCGCATCCCGTTGTGGCTCCTCCCACGGTTGACAGCCGTTGGCTGTTGCTATAATAAGCACTGAAAATGACAGAGTTTCCAAAGAAAGGCCGGCAACAAACGACGGACTGACGCTCTTTGGTACCTTGATTGAACGAGGCTGTCCACCAGGTCCTCGTCATAAAGCATGTAGGACAATACGGACACTAAATACATGGACAAAATCGATGACGCGTGTCGTCGTACGTAATGGTGACAAAAGTAGTGTTTGAGAATCTTGATGTTGTCGACGGGCTCGTCACGTCGTCGAGCTGACCGTCGAGAAGGTGCGGTCGCTGTCTTGGACGACCATGTTTAGGCCGAGTCGCGAATGCCGTCGCTGCGACCGCCGGGCTTTTCAGTGTTCAGAACCGAGACAGCGTCACTGATTGCGAATATGATCGTCCTATTGGTTTGCCGAGGGGCGATAGTACGTTGCTAATCGACTACTTCTTCATGCGCAGCTCAGGCAACCGTCCAGTAATCGCAGACAATCGGGGTGCTGTTCGCTTTGCGCGCCAAACTGTTTTTGGTAAAAAAGACCCGTTTTGGTCGGGAGCGAGCAATTCCCAGCTGCGATAACGCATCCAACTTTCGCACGAGGTTGAACACGGTGTAGTTGGCCATGTACAGTCCCGCGTTGAAGAGATTCTCAATGCTACTACCACTCTGAAAGGCGTACCGGTATTGCGTCATGAGCTAGTTGGCGCGGCCACATTTGGCATTGTGGCGTCGGCGCACGCACCAGGAGCGGTTGCGTCAGTTCCAACAAAATGGGGGCTCTCTAAATTTATCGCATTTTCAAAACCCACTTTGGAGTCGTCAGAAAAGCCGCTGCGTGAAACTCATGTCGCGGCGACGCAGCAAGTTAGGCAATGGAATCGATTCGGGCAGCATGCGAGGCCTCGCGTACCGCGGGCTCGGCTACGCCAAGAATATTGCGGGCTTCCTCGTCATCCTCCTCATCCTCATGGACGCGCTTGTTAACAACTGGACGCTAAGCAACTACCTCGGGGGCGGGTACTTTTTCTTGACGCCGCTCGGGTCGGTCCAGAACGCGCGGCAGCTCGAGACCAAGTACAGCTACATGCGCGGTCTCTCGATCAAGAACTTGTCCAACATGGGTCAGTGGATGTCGAACTTTACGATCATCCACTTTGTGGAGAAAAGCGACCGGCTGTACGTCATCTCGGCGGGCGAATACGACTTGACGCCGGCCATGGTACTCTGCCCCGTCTTTCAAGGCGTCTATGGCAACGTTGACAGTTCGAAAAAAGTGAAGTTGGCGCTCGCGACCGACGCGACGACCTACTACCGCGGCAACATGCTCACGCACATGTTTACGAACGATGCGACCGTCGACGTGGCGACGCCAAATATGCGCAGCGCCGACGTCATCGCGCGCGGGTACATCCCTGGCCAGACGACCGTCGACAAGCGCTTCACGCGCGACTTTTCGATCCAGAATACGTCGTCCGAGCAGACCCAGGTCGTGCCCTACTTTCGAATCCTCTCGCGCAACTACTGCACGGGCTGCGACCCGGTCGCCGAGCTCGGGTACTCAACATGTGAGTTCAAACTGGTCTACAATGACGCGGCCAAGACGCTCACGGTGACGTCCAGTGCGTTCGTGCCGGGCTCGACGTACAAGCTCGGGTCCACGGTGCTCAATTCCGCGTTTGGCCAAGTCGCGATCGTGACCAAGCTCATTGCGATTTTGTTTGCGATCGCGGGATACCTCGCGGGCCGGCGCACGATCCAGTGGCTTGAAGTGGACCCAGCGAAACCCGACTCGATGCTCACCAAGGTTCTTCGGACGGTCATTCCAAAGTACTTTCCGTACCAGAGCGACGCGCTCAGCTACGACATGTTCATGTACAACTCGGACATTTTCGTGCTGTTGTACACGTTCGCGGTGCTCCTGGACCTTCAAAACAGCATGCAACATACGCGCAATGTCAATTTCTACAACGCGCTCGCGCCCCGGTTCCTTGTTTCGATTGAGATGTTTTCGCTCTCGCTGCGTCTGCTATGGGGCAACCTCGCGATCCTCAAGCTCGCCAAATTGCTCTGGAACCTCCTCGGCATTGCGTCGTACAATGGCCAGAGCACGACCATGGGCTTCTTCAATTTCTCCAGTGTCACGTACCTCTACCTCTCGGCGATTCTGCTCTGTTACGTGCCGGCGCTCATCGAGTACAACAACTCGGTGTCGGTCGACATTTCCAACGCGATCGAGCCGATCGATGGCATTGGCGTCAATGTCATCAACGGCAAATACCTCCGCGTTGCTCCGTACGTGGTGTTCGCACTCGTCCTCAACCTCTTGGGGGTGATTCTGCTGGATCACGGCATCAACTACAAGTACTTCAAGATGCTGCGCAAAAACAGCTTGGCGCGCCAAGCGGTCTACAACAGCACGTCGATCCTGTGCGATTTTCTCTGGGGCATCGAGCCGCGCGCCCATGTCAACGGCGCAGACGGCGCGATTGTCCTCGTGCGCGCCCGGCGCCTCAGTACGCTCCAGTGGTTTTTCATGTGCCACTTGACGTGCTTTTGTCTGCCGGCGAAAGACCTTGTGATTCGAAAGAAGGCAGCGCTGCAGGTCAAGAGCTCGGTGCGCTCGGCGAAGGCCAGCTCCGTGTGGGATGCGTCAGCGACCGACACCTCGACGATTGCAACGACAACGGATGCCGACGAGGGCACGGAGAACATGTGTCTCCTCGTCCAGGACTGGGACCGCAACATCCACCTCCTCGACCACACGCTGACCGAGGTGACGAGCCTTGTGTACAACATCAAAGTGCTCAAGAACACGCGCATCACGATCCGATGACTCCAGACCCTTTACATATTCTCGTGCATATCAATAGACAATTGCATTCTAGTGCATGTAATCGGCAATTAGAAAACTATTTGCGAAAGTACACAGACTCTGTTGAGATCGCGTCTACCTGAGGTGAGCATCGTCCATCTGCTCGAATCGTTTGTGGACGTCGCTTGGTTTGGTGGCCGCTTCGATCCTCAAATATTGCAATGTTTTTACGTGTAAGCCATATCTAACTGCACTTTGTTGGACAAGGCCTGTGTACGCCATGCCGCCAGCCTTGGACTCCTCGCCTGCACAGCCCTGGATCAGACTGCTCGATCCAGACATGCTTCAGAGTCGCATTATTACTACATGTGTACAATATCAAGCCACCGGTCGCGCGACCGGCGTTTCCAAGCAATCAATAACGCCACTTTGAGCTCGCCTGTTTGTTTTTAGCCGAAACAAACGCCAGTTCAAGTACCAGGACTTGCCGTTGGCACTAATGCCTCCATCGATCCGCGCGTACGTTGTCGACCACCACGGGGTGCGCGGCCTCGCACGCCTCGGGTACGGCTACGTCAAGCGCGCGATGAGCCTCTTCGTCGTCTTTCTTCTTGCAATGGACGCCGTCGTCAACAACTGGGCGCTAAGCAACTACCTCGCAGGCGGGTATTTCTTTCTGACGCCCATTGGTGCGGTTCAGAACGCCCGCAGCTCGAGACGCAGTACAGCTACATGCGCGGGTACTCGATCGCCAACATGTCCAACATGGGCCAGTGGATGGCCAACTACACGGTCGTCAACTTGGTCAGCAAGAACGACCGCGTCTTCGCAATTTCCGCCGGCGAGTTTGAGCTCACGCCGTCGACCGTCCTCTGCCCCATCTTTCAAGGCAACTATTCCGTGGATCTGAGCGTCTCAAACAAGGTCAAGCTCGCCGTCGCAGCCGACGCGACGACCTTCTACCGCGGCAACGCCTTCACCCATGCGACCAATGCCAACGACAAGGTGCCGGCCGGTGCCACCAGCGTCGACCTCCTCCGGCATGGGTACCTCCCGGGGCGGACAACCGTCGACAAGCGCTTCACGCGTGATATCGTCCTCGCCAACACGCCGACACCCCAAACGCAGGTGGTGCCGTACTTCCGCATCTACTCGCGCAACTACTGCACCGGCTGCGACGCGGTCGCGGAGCTTGGGTACTCGACATGCGAGCTCTCGATGGTTTACAATGACGCGACCAAGACGCTCACGGTGACGTCCAGTGCGTTCGTGCCGGGCTCGACGTACCAGCTCGGGTTCACGGTCGTCAACTCGGCGATGGCGCTCACCGCCCTCATCGTCAAGCTCCTTGCGATTTTTGTGGGCGTTGGCGGGTACATTGCGAGCCGCCGGACAGTGCAGTGGCTTGAAGTGGACCCGGCAAAACCCGACTCGTTTATCGCCAAGGTGATTCGCACCGTCGTGCCAAAGTACTTTCCGTTTCCGTCCGAAGCGCTGAGCTACGACATGCTGCTCTTCAACTCGGACATCTTTGTCTATCTGTACACACTCTCGGTCGTCCTCGATTTGCAAAATTGTCTGCGCTACGCCCGCGATGTCAGCGTCTACAACGCGCCGGCGCCGCAAGCGCTCGTGTCGATCGAGATCTTTGCGCTCTCGTTCCGCCTTCTCTGGCTCAACCTCGTCATCCTCAAGCTCTGCAAGCTGCTCTGGAACCTCCTCGGCATTGCGTCGTTCAATGGCCAGAGCGTCATGATGGGCTTCTTCAACTTCTCGAGCGTCACGGCCTTGTACCTCAGCGGCCTCTCCCTCTTCTTCATCCCGTCCTTTATCGACTATTGCAACTCGGACAACCACGAGCTGTACCACCACACCGAGCCACTCGACGGGATCCGCGTCGAGGTCGTCCACGGCATTTACATCCGCGTCGCGCCGTACGTCGTGTTCGTGCTCCTCGTCAATATCGTCGTCATCCTCGTGCTCGACCACGTGTGGAACCTATCGCATTGGAAAATGCTGCGCAAAAACAGCTTGGCGCGCCAAGCTGTCTACAACAGCACGTCGATCATGTGCGACTTTCTCTGGGGCATCGAGCCGCACGAGCTCCCGACCGGTCCTGGCTCGGTCGTCTCCATCAGTGCGCGCCGGCTGAGTACGCTCCAATGGTTTTACATGAGCCATTTAACGTGTTTTGGCTTGCCGGCCAAAGACCTCCTTGCAAAGAAACGAACCGTGCTGACAGTGCACGTCAGGTCGCTGCCCACCAAGTCGGTGTCGTCGCCCGACGAACCGCCGTCGGCCACAGCCGATGCGATGGACGAGTACTTCATGCTGGCGCAGGACGGCGACGCCAACATCCACATCCTCGACGGCAACCTCACCGAAGTCCCCAGCGTCGTATACAACGTCAAGATCCTCAAGAACGCTTTCATCAAACTCAAGTAGAGGTACAACTACATACGTTTATACATATATAGAATGAATTTGTTTGGACAATAATGAGCAACACACAAAATCAGGAGAGGCGTTCGGGCGTCCGGGTGTTCTTAAAGGCAAATAGCAATACTCCCATTTTGTGTAAAATATTGTCCGATCGACACGGCCCTATTACCGCACACGACGCTACAACCCTACGGTACCAGTACTGTCCTCGGCGCGACGAGATCATCACATGCGATCTGAGTCGTCCCCGATCAGCATCACCATCCTCATTCGACCACCAGGCCGACCGCCATCAGCAGCGTCATGGACTGCGGTCAATGGTCCCTCGTCGGCGCCTTGCGATAGGTGTAGAAACGCAGACCATTACACGACGGCCACTACACTCGGTCGCATGTACCAACACCCTTGTAGAGGTGTGCATGCTAACGCTACAGAGCGCGACGCAGTCTTTCACGACGACCACGTCCCTGCACAGCTCGCCACTCCATGTATCCTCCAAGGTACGCTGCATCGTTGCGAGCGGGGAGAAAAATCTGGAGTCGGAAAAGGCAGTCCACGGCGAGAACGACGAACGACTTGGCGTAGCTTCAAGTCGACGCGGTTGGTTACGTTCGCACACACATTCGCCAGCTGTCGGCAGAGTACCGTGTACTTGTGTGCCGCGGCGCCACGGGCGTCAAGCCACCCAACGCAAACGGTCGTCCTTCGCGAGGCAGGCAGCTGCGATCGACGCAGTGGCTCCTACCCACGTAGTAGTACTGGCAGTCGTTGTCTCGCGGTCGCGTGGCAAACCGGCGGCGGTTTGTCTGGTGCGCCGCCATCTTGGACCGAGATACACTACAGCGGCGCAATGGCTGTTATGGCGGGTAGGGTCGAGCCGACAATTCAAAAGAGCCTTAACGCGTGTGCATTTCATACAAAAGGCCAGTTTTGGTTTTCTGTGGTGGTAAAAGATGGGTGCACAGCAAACTCGGCCGGCCGTGTGTCACGGCAGAGAGTAACGCGCTGGCTCCCGTCGCGACATGGACGCCGAGCGCAGCATTTGAGAACTTGCAACGAGACGAGAATGGGTTTCTTTGGCCGGTCCAGCGAAGCGTCCCCGCGGTCGCCCTCGATCAGCCACAACGACTTGACGCCGAGCGGCCTCGAAGACAAGGAGAACGAGCATGGCGATCTCCAGCGCAAGAAGCGCATGCTCATCATGGCGGGCTGCGGCCTCGCAGTCGTCGCCGCAGTCGGCGTTGTGACGTTTGCAGCGACGAGCTCGACGGACGCGAGCACGGGCGAAGGCCTTTCCACGACACCCAAGCCGACGACGGCGGCTGCCAACGGCGAAACCTTGGTCGGCTCGACGGGCCACCTCGACAGTGTTCCGGCGGAGAGCACGTTCACCCCGGTGGCCACGACCGCCGATGCGCCCGAGTCGGCCAACGTGACGTTGATTGGCGACCTCAACGCGCTTCCGGGTACGGAGAACGCGACGACGACACAGACGCCAACGACGGCACCGGTCACCGAAGTGCCTACGCCGGCCCCGACGACCGAAGCCCCGACGCCCGCGCCGACGCCGCGCGACT